AATGCTTAATGTAAGCCAACTATAACCACGTATTACTATTACAAGGTTGAAATGAATATATATATATATATATATATATATAATATATACTTAGTTCATTAATTTTTTCTTCCCTGTAGTTGTGAAAATGAAATGATTCTTGTTGTGATGCGACGAGAGGTGGATGAGAGTTGTCGAGATAGTTAGCTTTCATTTTAAAATGAAACATTCAAAGCTCACTGATCAGTTCTGTAAAATCAGAAGTGCTTGTTCCCAAAAAACAAAGATGGTCAATGGGAGCAGTCATTCACCAACCAAAAGTCAAAAGTTTCATAAGATGAAGTTTGCGTAGATTTGACAGCATGAAAATATCCGTTCAGATTCCCAAAGGGGTTTGCGACTTTTAATTGTAGTTGGTATCTAGGTTTACAACAACGGGCCAATCCTGTGGATTAATCAAATCAATATTATTGTTAATGTCATGTCTAATTATCCTTGGATCCAAATATTTGAGCCAATCATTACTTGATTTGATTAATAACAGATCTACTTCAATAGTGTATTTATTTATTTTATTAGAGTAACCACTTTTTCCCACGCAAGATTTGAACACTTTTTCTCTAAAAAAAAATTAATTTAAATATCAATTTTTCACCCAAGTTATATTTTATTATTATCTTAAACCAATTTAGAGACAAATATTTTATCTGTCATCAATCATCATCATTTGAACCTTTAGTCTCTTCTCTATAAAATATTTTTCACTCTACTATTTGATTCTCGTCGATGTGTCGATCATCGTAAAGTTAATGTTTTCTTTCTTAAAATGATTTTCGCTGATTCTGATAGTAAATATTCATTAATCACCACTATTCAATCCATCGACCTCCACTCTACAAAACCTCTCTTTTCCTGTCTCTTGAGAACTCGCTAAATGTCAACTAAGAAAGTAAAGTATATTTGGGTATTGGCGGAATAACTTTGAGTGGGAAAGTGGTATTTTAAAACTTGTTTTGTAGAAAAATGTCATTAAGGCAAACCTTGGTGAGGAAAAGTGGTTTCTATTATTTTTTTATTAATTTCACTTGAATTAAAATACTAATAATTAATAATTTGATGACATTAGGTATTGTACGTATGAGAAAAAATAATTAATTTGGTGTGGATCTCTTGTATAATTTATTAGATCGAGATTTGCACGCATTAACATTGAATTAATTTAGTCAATTTTTTCCACTTTGAAGAAATGGTAGCCAGCTAGATTTAATTAGATCTCATTTAATCCCACATGCCTTTTATTCTAAATAATTTCCAGCCATACATTTTCTGAACCAGCTATAATAAAATTAAAATAAATATTGTGGGTGAAGACTATTAGGTTTAGGTCACACACGTTTTCAGTTAGGTTTGAATGTTCATACAAAATACAAATCCACTAATCTTAAAGGTACCTTCCAAAATTGAGTGTATAACTCCTCAAAGTCCCAATTGATTTCGATGTATAATGAATCTCTCAAATAATTGAAAGCAAACAAATTTATTTATTTATTTATTTATTTTTATTGATTGGGGTATCTAAGTCATCTCAAATAATCTCGAGGTTCATTAGATACTATATAAATCTAATGTTCCAAGATAAAACACAAATACGATAAATAATCCTAAGATAGTTCAAACCTAAGAAGTTAATAAAGAGAACAAACCTTCTTGACCGTCTAATCAACCCTTTAGGATTACTATTTTGATGATCAAGGGTATCCAGATCAGCTTATAGATATCTCAATTAATCTCTCAAAACCCTAAAACTATAGACTAAACAAGAGTTTTAGTAGCAATCCCTGTTAATCAGTAGAGGTTACTACTTTTTCTTTCCTTTTTCTGTTTGTGTTTTCTTAGCTGAGAAGGAAAGAGGATTATGTAGTTAATGGTGTTTTGGCATGCAGCCATTATTGCAGCCAATTCAAGGAGGAAATCATGGGAACTGAATTAATTAAAGCTTTCAACCCTTTCGTCAAACTTGTGTGTGAAGAATAATATAAACTCAGGGGGATTTTAATTAATAAAATATATATTCTTGATTAACTCGATGAAGTTCTCGCTCTTCAATTGGACAAGTGTAAAACAAAAAGGAGGAGCAGGTCTCGTTTTAACGTTTTAATTAATTAAATTAAGTTTGGTTTCACATTGATTCCAGCAGCCTAATTAATTAATTAATCTATTTAATAATTAATAAATCAATCACATAAACGTGACATTCTCACTTTGCCTATTTATCAAAGGACCACAAAATAAATAAATAAAGAAATAAAAACAAAATTTTATTTTTAGTTGTATTAACACATCAACTCTATAAAAAGGTATGAAGATCTTTCATTTGATTCTTTTCTCATAAAAATCTCGAATATACAATATATGTATTTATTTTTTTTATATCTGTCAGATCCAGACATAGATAGGTTTTTAGAGGTATTTTCTGTTAACTGTTAATTTATGACAGATCTAGACACACGGTAGGTAGATTCTCAAAGGTATTGTTCACTTTAGGTAAAGGCCCTCTCGTCTTCTAACCAATGTGGGATTTTAACACCAACATATATCTCAACTCTCAAAGACAAGTTGATGCGAGTGAGTATGTCTCAACAAACTTTTTTTTTAAAAAATAAAAATAAAAAAGGAAATAAAATTAGGGTTTCTTCTAGGACAGCGGTTATGCCGACGAATAAGATGAAAATGAAAGTTGTGGCCAAGATCTGAAGAGATAAAAAAAAAAGGGATTTGGAAACAGGTTCATGGCTAAGAAAATAAACTGAATGTTGGATGCAAAATCAGAGCAAGGTCAATCAGAGACGAGACACATGACCTACTAGCTTAAAATATGGATCTATTCTATACAGAAAATCAGATTTATAATCTTAAATCTTCATTAAGAGTAATTAATTATCTTAATTAAGCACCATATGTCTCACATGAATCATGTTAAATTAATGTGTCTCACGTGAATCATGTTAAATTATTATTAATAATCGAGACAACTTTTAGCCTTACCCACCATTCAACATGTTTTGTTTTGAATTATTGGTATTGACCAAATGACCATGTGATGAGGTTTGACAAAGTATCAGTTAGGTCCAGTAAAATCAGAAAAAGCAAACTTTAATCCCTGTTATTAGTATTAGACCAATACTATTACATTCCATTAAATGATGCAAGGGCATTTTTGTCTTTTTATACAAACAACCTAATGATGTGGTAGGATTGAGTAAAGTGTTTTCTTGTTTTTCTTTTAGGTAATTGAAGTATCTAGACCCACATTGGTGTTTGTCTAATCCTTAGGGTCACGAAACACCCTGCATGCCTAATAAACCAAAGTAATTGCATAAATGTGATAGATACCTCTTCTATGGCTCGAACATAAGACTCCCTAAGTATAGCTAACCCTAGTGGTTAAATGGTCTGTCATCTGGTCACAGGATTAGGGTCACGAAACACCGTACAAGCCTAATAGATCAAGATAATTACATAAATGTGATATATACCTCTTCTGTGGCTCGAACATAAGACTCCCTGGGTATAACTAACCCTAGTGGCTAAAGGGTTTGTCATCTGGTCACAGGATTAGGGTCACGAAACATCTTATAAGCCTAATAGACCAAGGTAATTGCATAAATGTGATAGATACATTTCCTGTGGCTCGAACATAAGACTCCCTAGGTATAGCTAACCTTAGTAACTAAAGGGTTTGTCATCTGGTCACAAGATTAGGGTCACGAAACACCTTACAAGCCTAATAGATCAAGATAATTGCATAAATGTGATAGATACCTCTTCTGTGGCTCGAACATAAGACTCCTTGAGTATAGCTAATCCTAGTAGCTAAAGAGTTTGTCATCTGGTCACAATAAGAGAGGTTAGTATATTTAACTTTTATTTTATTATTTTCTTAATTTATCATTGAATTTTCAGAATTGTAGTTAAAAGTTTCATAAGTTGTTTGTATAAAAAAGACAAATTGCCCTTACATCATTTTATGGAATATAACAAACTTTGATTTCATGAAACCTCAGAGATGAAAATGGCTTTTTTTCTGATTTTGTTGGACCTAATTGGTTTCGTCGAACCTCAGGGACGAAAATGTCAATTAATTAACTTTAATCATTAAAGGTCCAAGCTGAGGTCCATTCAAAAGAAAAGTTGAAAGCGTAGGGAAGAAGCCATGAACCGATCCAGCTAACAAAATCGACAAGGCTTGAAGTTTCCAGGGGGATGTACTCATAGTGTTCATGATATGAAATATCTGAAATTTTAATCCCCTCGTGTTAGGAATGTTAAATTGGAAAATTAAGACGTTCACAACTAAATTTTTTTCAAAAAGAGTATAATGTAAACAGATGATTTAACCAACTTCTGGGTGGTTTTTTCAAAAAAAGTATAGTGTAAACAGACAATTTAACCAACTTCTGGGTGGTTTTTTCAAAAAAAGTATAGTGTAAACAGATGATTTAACCAACTCCTGGGTGGTTTTTTCAAAAAGAGTATAGTGTAAACCAATGATTTAACCAACTCCTAGATGGTTGAGTAGTTCGATAATAACTTTTAAGTGTATTATTCAAGAGTATCTAAGTTCGAGTCCTTCCTTGGTTACTAATAGGGGTTGTCACTGAAGCTCTTACTCGACTGATGATTCCAGAGTCTCAAGTAATTAGTTGAAGTATGCATAAGTTGGCCGGACACCTTCGATCATTGAAAAAAATATATAAATATATATAATCTTGTAAACACCAGAAAAGCCTATATAAAGCCTACTGGGCCTTATATGGGCTTTCTAGTTCAGTGGAATATGGTCTTTATGTGGGCTTAACAAATTTGAATTATATAATGTGTTACACTATTACAAAATCGTTTTAATATTTCTTGGACACCTTTGGTAGCTTAAAAATCATACTCAAATCTTGAAGATAAACATATATCTGATTAAACAAAAAAATTCACTTTTGTTCAAGAATGAACATTTATTGATACATTTATCTTATTGATGCTTGAATGTCTTCCAGAGTTCTGCCTTTTGTTTCAGGAACAAACTTGATGGTGAAAACCATTGACAGTACACAGAATCCAGCATAAAGGAAAAATACACCTGAGATATCACAATTCACAACACCAAGTGCATCATTAATAAAGTTTGATAACATTATTCGATCGATATTTGGGTTAAAAATGACGGTGTTTCGGGGAATAGCAAGAGAGGAGTACTTACCAAATGAACTCCATTCAAAAAGAAAGATGAAAGAGTAAGATATAGCCCAAGAACCAAGCCAGTTCACCAGTGTCACCAGGCTTCCAGCTGGTCCCTTTAGATTGAGAGGGAAAATCTGAAACGAAGCACTCGGAATTAGACTCAAAGTTAACCTGAAATTGTTAAGATTATGCGAAATCCTTGTGTTACCTCAGACATTATAACCCAAGGAATGGGCCCTGTACCAACCGAAAAGAAGGCTATGTAAACCTGAAGTTGCAACAGAGGAAACATGTTAATGCACCCAAGTAACTATAGAATAAGGGAATAAGAGGAAAAATTTTACAATTCAGCTTACCATTACACCAACCAATGCAAGAACTGGAGAAACTTCAGGAGCCATGCCATGTTCCTGATATAAAAATAAGAATTCAATGAGTTAGGAAATGGATAATCAGAGTACTATTCAATAAATGTGTGATTGATTGTTACCTTCAAAAGGAAGGAAGTTCCAATAGATAAACTGCCCACGAGTAGCCCGGCTACAGATATCTGAAGTGGAAGTTTCACAATAATGAGAGAATTTTCATTGTGTTTAGGCCATCAATCAATCTATCAATTAAACTAAAGTCTATGTGTAATGGTGGTCTCAACATTGCATACCATTAAAAGGGGTCTTCTGCCAGCTCGATCCATCAAGGTTGCACCGAATGCAGTGGCGAAAACCTGTAGACCGGAGTAGAGAATACTTCCAACACTAGGCGAGACTCCTGCTTTCAGGAATCGACTTGAAAACTTAAGCAGTACAATAATTTAACAATAAAGAAAAAGAAAAAAAAGTTAACTTCACAGATAATGTGAATTCACCTGCAGAGACAAATACTTGACCAGCATAGTATATTATTCCATTTATTCCAATTGCTTGCTGAAACACCATCAATCCAACTCCAATCTGATTGCAGTTGTTCAAGAGTGAGTGAATGGAAAAGAAAAAAAATATCTGACAGCATCAAATGAAATGTTAAATATAAGAAAATCAATTCGAAGAGTTCAAACGATGCTTACGAAGACAAAAGGGAAGTTCCTACTGTTAAACATGTCCAGTACTTTGACTTCTGGGAGTTGTCTAAGAACTGCTAAGGATTCCTGAAAAACATGAGAGTAACATTTAACTTATCCAATCTGCTGCAAGTACACAGATAGAATAAAACTAAAGCATAAATGGTAATAAATTGATAAATTGTAATGGATCATGTACTTGAATTTCAGTCCGTTCTCGAGAAATATCAACATCAGGTCCCCGAAGTGTCTTTAATGCAGCTTCAAATTTTTCCTTTTGACCAGCCATTGCCTGTGCCACAAGATTTAGTGTAAAATGTGCCTCAAAATTTAGGCTTAGGTTTTGACACAATCTATAGTTACATTAGATTTTGAAATGGTAGCCTAAAGTTCCTTCAATTCTAATCTTTTCAGAACTCCTATTAGTTTTGGAGCAAATACTTCAAGTTCCTGAAAAAATTCTACATACACAATCAAATTAAGTCAAAATCTTACCAGCCATCTAGGGGACTCTGGGATGAAGCTGAGTCCGATTATCATAATCACGCTTGGGATAAGACCTGCAAACAAACAGCAGTTCCATAAGCCTCTCGCAGAGTATCTGCTAATTAATCTTTTGGATAACCTTATAAACATTATATGAACTTGCATATATAACTATGAGGACTATTTATGTTATAATCAACCAAAAAGAGAATGACCATTCGACACGAGTAAGAATTTGCCTACAGTTACTGGAATGGAAGAGAATAATATGCATGATTGTCTAAGTATAGACAAAAGAAAAGCAGAAAATTTAAAGCATTGCATTATAATGATTCAGGTCAACCAGATAAAATGACCATACCAGTCAGAGCAAGAGTCCTCCATGATACAAATGCACCAACTGCGTATGCAAAAAGTATCCCCATTGTTATAAAGAGCTGCAGAGTAGGTAGCGTGTTAGCGAAAGTCTATATTACACAAGTTTTGCAGATCATATAATGAATTCAACCCAAATTTTGTACCTGATTTGCTGTTGCTAGTGCCCCCCTGAGGTTTTTAGGGGTGATCTCAGCAATGTAAACTGGCACCTATTTGTTTTCAAGTGAGCAGAAAAGTTGGCTATGAGTTCACATTCTGTGTATAATTTCTTGAATACCAAGATCAAAATTTATGAATACACAAAAGCATACCGTATAAGAAATAACCCCTATTCCACATCCTGTTAAAAATCTTCCAATATCTAGGTGTACAGAAGTCTATCACAAGAAACATTAAAGTGTTATATTTTAGTTCATATTAAATCATTTTAGAAACAATGATAGAAATTGTAGAAGTGATACTCACAAAACCTAAGTAGATTGCAATCCATCCTACTATGCATACAATAGATGATATCCTCATGGCCTGCAATGACAACAAAACCAGCAAAATTAGAGCACGCAATAGGCAAAGATTCAAGAGAGTAACAAGGTATCAGCCTCTGTTCCTACCCCTTTCCGGCCAAGCCAATCAGCAAATCGTCCGCTTGTGATTGCACCAACAACCGCACCAATAGTCAATATGGAGCCAAAGACTGAGTACTGCAAATGACAAAAAGTTTCCCATAATTACAGCTTGGAGAGAAGTCAGCATTGTACTTCAATCATTCATATGGCATAAAGATGAATTAACTAGTATCAAAGTTACCTCTGAATAAGTTTGATGGAGATCCTCCATAATGCCAAATTGGGCTGGTGAGGAATATCCCACCTGCAGAATCAGAAAGTTTCGTTTTTGAATCTCAATTTCGTCTAAAATCAAAGCCTAATGATAATTCACATTGTCTTGAAATTGATACAAACACTTACACATGACCCGAACTCGAATGCGCCACAAACTGCAATGAAGGTGCTGAAGAGAACCATAAACAAGCTACCCTTCTGAGGTGTGCTTTTAACTTCTGATTCTTTCCTTTTGTCTACCAATGGCTCTGTTAAATTACCATTGCCATTGCTACTTCCACTATCCGTATCTTTTCTACTGCCCATTTCTTCTGTCTATGTCAACACAACACTGCAAACAAACAAAAACAAAGAGATCAGTTTGAAGCATTATTATTCAAAAGAAATTCAGAATTCAAGAAGAATGTGCCCGTTAAAATACTCAACACCATGCATGCACTAACATATCACAAAAGAACAAGTACCCTTCTAATATGCTTGGCTGGTGAGAAACTCTAACAAGTCCAGGTTGAGTTTTGGACTAGAAAATCATTCAAAGTGGTTTAAATACTAAAGGGTGGATAATCATAATTGAATGGCATGAGGATAAAAAATCAATGCTCTAAGTTGGGCCACTGGAATAATTGTTTAAAATCTTTTAATGGGCAAATCGCTTATCTCCTCGCCGCTCTATCGCTAGATAAGAGGTGAGTCAGTGGCAACAAATATTACATGGATCTGAGTCAATGCCTATTTTTCAGGCCATTTTAATCTAATGAGCTTTTAATAGGTAAAAAAGTCTCTTCTGTGGTCGTATAATTAAGGAAAATTAGCACAAATAATGAGTGATTAAGAGTTACCGATTAAAGAAACAAAAAAGAATGGATTTTAACCACACATAATTTGCCAATTCATTATTTCGAAAAAGAAAATTTTAAGTGAAATATAAAAATTAAACAAGAGACTTACATGCTTCAACTCTTCAAGAAAGCTAGAATTTTAGTTTCTAGCTTGATTCTGTATGAAAAAATTGAATCCATGGCAGAGATTAATGTCAAATTTGTATGCTCTCTAAATTTTAACTCTGCAGAGGAAAATAATCTTTTGTTAACTAGGATTAGCTATCATAATTTCACATGAATTTTTATACCTTAACATATAATTAATTTCGGAATTAGAAAACTTCGGAATAAGATTAAACCCTTTTCAATACAAAGTTGAATTCAATACATATTCATTTAGTTTAATTTCTCTATACAAAGTTGACACTAATGAGTTCTCTATTAGAAGAAGGAGAAGAAGAATCAACGTATGCTCTAAGAACTGAAGAAACTGAAAAATTGGATTCTAATATTTTGACAAGTTGCTCCATTGTTAGCCTGGCGTGTAAAATTGGATGAGCACAAAGAACGGCTGTGAGGACATATTGTTCCATAATTTGAGGCAACCCCAGTTCAGGAATGTTGTCTTCAATAACATCCATTGTTCTACCTTCTTTAACTAGCCCCCATGCCCAATCTGTCAAAAGCAGAGTCTTTCCATCTTTAATTTCACATGCTTTTTTCCCACTCAAAAGTTCGAGCAACACTACTCATCAATCAATCTATCAATTAAACTAAAGTCTATGTGTAATGAAGATCTCAACATTGCATACCATTAAAAGGGGTCTTCTGCCAGCTCTATCCATCAAGGTTGCACCGAATGCAGTGGTGAAAACCTGTAGACCGGAGTAGAGAATACTTCCAACACTAGGCGAGACTCCTGCGTTCAGGAATCGACTTGAAAACTTAAGCAGTACAATAATTTAACAATAAAGAAAAAGAAAAAAAAGTTAACTTCACAGATAATGTGAATTCACCTGCAGAGACAAATACTTGACCAGCATAGTATATTATTCCATTTATTCCAATTGCTTGCTGAAACACCATCAATCCAACTCCAATCTGATTGCAGTTGTTCAAGAGTGAGTGAATGGAAAAGAAAAAAAATATCTGACAGCATCAAATGAAATGTTAAATATAAGAAAATCAATTCGAAGAGTTCAAACGATGCTTACGAAGACAAAAGGGAAGTTCCTACTGTTAAACATGTCCAGTACTTTGACTTCTGGGAGTTGTCTAAGAACTGCTAAGGATTCCTGAAAAACATGAGAGTAACATTTAACTTATCCAATCTGCTGCAAGTACACAGATAGAATAAAACTAAAGCATAAATGGTAATAAATTGATAAATTGTAATGGATCATGTACTTGAATTTCAGTCCGTTCTCGAGAAATATCAACATCAGGTCCCCGAAGTGTCTTTAATGCAGCTTCAAATTTTTCCTTTTGACCAGCCATTGCCTGTGCCACAAGATTTAGTGTAAAATGTGCCTCAAAATTTAGGCTTAGGTTTTGACACAATCTATAGTTACATTAGATTTTGAAATGGTAGCCTAAAGTTCCTTCAATTCTAATCTTTTCAGAACTCCTATTAGTTTTGGAGCAAATACTTCAAGTTCCTGAAAAAATTCTACATACACAATCAAATTAAGTCAAAATCTTACCAGCCATCTAGGGGACTCTGGGATGAAGCTGAGTCCGATTATCATAATCACGCTTGGGATAAGACCTGCAAACAAACAGCAGTTCCATAAGCCTCTCGCAGAGTATCTGCTAATTAATCTTTTGGATAACCTTATAAACATTATATGAACTTGCATATATAACTATGAGGACTATTTATGTTATAATCAACCAAAAAGAGAATGACCATTCGACACGAGTAAGAATTTGCCTACAGTTACTGGAATGGAAGAGAATAATATGCATGATTGTCTAAGTATAGACAAAAGAAAAGCAGAAAATTTAAAGCATTGCATTATAATGATTCAGGTCAACCAGATAAAATGACCATACCAGTCAGAGCAAGAGTCCTCCATGATACAAATGCACCAACTGCGTATGCAAAAAGTATCCCCATTGTTATAAAGAGCTGCAGAGTAGGTAGCGTGTTAGCGAAAGTCTATATTACACAAGTTTTGCAGATCATATAATGAATTCAACCCAAATTTTGTACCTGATTTGCTGTTGCTAGTGCCCCCCTGAGGTTTTTAGGGGTGATCTCAGCAATGTAAACTGGCACCTATTTGTTTTCAAGTGAGCAGAAAAGTTGGCTATGAGTTCACATTCTGTGTATAATTTCTTGAATACCAAGATCAAAATTTATGAATACACAAAAGCATACCGTATAAGAAATAACCCCTATTCCACATCCTGTTAAAAATCTTCCAATATCTAGGTGTACAGAAGTCTATCACAAGAAACATTAAAGTGTTATATTTTAGTTCATATTAAATCATTTTAGAAACAATGATAGAAATTGTAGAAGTGATACTCACAAAACCTAAGTAGATTGCAATCCATCCTACTATGCATACAATAGATGATATCCTCATGGCCTGCAATGACAACAAAACCAGCAAAATTAGAGCACGCAATAGGCAAAGATTCAAGAGAGTAACAAGGTATCAGCCTCTGTTCCTACCCCTTTCCGGCCAAGCCAATCAGCAAATCGTCCGCTTGTGATTGCACCAACAACCGCACCAATAGTCAATATGGAGCCAAAGACTGAGTACTGCAAATGACAAAAAGTTTCCCATAATTACAGCTTGGAGAGAAGTCAGCATTGTACTTCAATCATTCATATGGCATAAAGATGAATTAACTAGTATCAAAGTTACCTCTGAATAAGTTTGATGGAGATCCTCCATAATGCCAAATTGGGCTGGTGAGGAATATCCCACCTGCAGAATCAGAAAGTTTCGTTTTTGAATCTCAATTTCGTCTAAAATCAAAGCCTAATGATAATTCACATTGTCTTGAAATTGATACAAACACTTACACATGACCCGAACTCGAATGCGCCACAAACTGCAATGAAGGTGCTGAAGAGAACCATAAACAAGCTACCCTTCTGAGGTGTGCTTTTAACTTCTGATTCTTTCCTTTTGTCTACCAATGGCTCTGTTAAATTACCATTGCCATTGCTACTTCCACTATCCGTATCTTTTCTACTGCCCATTTCTTCTGTCTATGTCAACACAACACTGCAAACAAACAAAAACAAAGAGATCAGTTTGAAGCATTATTATTCAAAAGAAATTCAGAATTCAAGAAGAATGTGCCCGTTAAAATACTCAACACCATGCATGCACTAACATATCACAAAAGAACAAGTACCCTTCTAATATGCTTGGCTGGTGAGAAACTCTAACAAGTCCAGGTTGAGTTTTGGACTAGAAAATCATTCAAAGTGGTTTAAATACTAAAGGGTGGATAATCATAATTGAATGGCATGAGGATAAAAAATCAATGCTCTAAGTTGGGCCACTGGAATAATTGTTTAAAATCTTTTAATGGGCAAATCGCTTATCTCCTCGCCGCTCTATCGCTAGATAAGAGGTGAGTCAGTGGCAACAAATATTACATGGATCTGAGTCAATGCCTATTTTTCAGGCCATTTTAATCTAATGAGCTTTTAATAGGTAAAAAAGTCTCTTCTGTGGTCGTATAATTAAGGAAAATTAGCACAAATAATGAGTGATTAAGAGTTACCGATTAAAGAAACAAAAAAGAATGGATTTTAACCACACATAATTTGCCAATTCATTATTTCGAAAAAGAAAATTTTAAGTGAAATATAAAAATTAAACAAGAGACTTACATGCTTCAACTCTTCAAGAAAGCTAGAATTTTAGTTTCTAGCTTGATTCTGTATGAAAAAATTGAATCCATGGCAGAGATTAATGTCAAATTTGTATGCTCTCTAAATTTTAACTCTGCAGAGGAAAATAATCTTTTGTTAACTAGGATTAGCTATCATAATTTCACATGAATTTTTATACCTTAACATATAATTAATTTCGGAATTAGAAAACTTCGGAATAAGATTAAACCCTTTTCAATACAAAGTTGAATTCAATACATATTCATTTAGTTTAATTTCTCTATACAAAGTTGACACTAATGAGTTCTCTATTAGAAGAAGGAGAAGAAGAATCAACGTATGCTCTAAGAACTGAAGAAACTGAAAAATTGGATTCTAATATTTTGACAAGTTGCTCCATTGTTAGCCTGGCGTGTAAAATTGGATGAGCACAAAGAACGGCTGTGAGGACATATTGTTCCATAATTTGAGGCAACCCCAGTTCAGGAATGTTGTCTTCAATAACATCCATTGTTCTACCTTCTTTAACTAGCCCCCATGCCCAATCTGTCAAAAGCAGAGTCTTTCCATCTTTAATTTCACATGCTTTTTTCCCACTCAAAAGTTCGAGCAACACTACTCCGTAACTGTAAACATCACTTTTTGTGGTTAGTTTTCCGTATAATGCATACTCTGGAGATACATATCCGAGAGTTCCGGCTACTCTCGTTGTCAAATGAGTCATTCCATCATGATTGATCTTGGCCAGGCCAAAATCTGCAACTTTTGGCTCGAATGTCTCATCCAAAAGTATGTTGCTGGATTTTATATCTCTGTGAATTATAGCAGGCTGCACACCATAGTGTAGATAGGCCAATCCGCGAGCTGTTCCTAGCGCGATCTTCTGACGTATAGGCCAGCTGAGTTTCTTCATTGCTGATCCGAAAAGATGGTCATAGAGGCTCCCATTGTGCAAGAGATCACAGACAATGATTCTTTGGTGACCCCCCATGGGAATTGCTGTAGTGCAATAGCCTCTCAAAGTAACAAGATTTACATGCTTAACACTTGCTATAATTTCCACCTCGTGTTTGAAGTTTGCATCACCAATTGCTGAACAGTTCTTGAACCTTTTGAATGCAACTTCGGTTCCATCTGGTAATGTCCCTTTGTAAACATTCCCATATCCTCCTTTTCCAATGATGTTCTTCCAGGAGAAATTCATTGTGGCGGATTTTATTTCCTCAATTTTGAACTTCACCAAATTGGTACCTCTACTACCTGACCCCAGGACCAAACTAGTGTCATCATTCGGAGAAATGTCGTTCTCCCTGTGAAGAGAATTATTCCTCTTCCCCTTCGATCTCCTTGTCCGAATCCAAATAAACCAAACTGCAGATAAGGCCCCCAGGATGCCAATAATACAGCCTAATACAACACCAGAAATGACAAACTTACGCCGGTTGAACCTGGATGGTTCCGAATAAAACCGAATAAAAAACAAACAACTCGCGGTTGCTCTATCAGTTGGTCCAAACTGATTAATAATACCAGCAGCATACATAGAGGGATACCCTGAACAATCTGAGACATTCACACTTTCAGAATCCTGAAGGTAAAATTCCCTGAGACTCAACAACTTACTGATACATGATCCACAAGCAAACCTGTTCTCCAGAGATTGGTTACAATGATGTCTAATCTCAAGCAATTTAGATTCAGGAATCAGGCTTTCAAACTGTGCCAGAGATGTTACATTTATGCAAGCCTCCGAAATCCATTCCGGTTGGTACCCACAAGCAGTTTTGATGTCAAAACCCTTAAGAAACTCCGAAACCAAGTCTCTGTACGCTTCCCAACAAGCCGCGGAAGTTTCAGGAGGAGGAAGAAAGTAACCATTATTTCGGAGATACTCTGAACGAACCAAACGGATAGCTTGAAGAATGCTTTGACATGGCGTCGGCATGTCGATAAACATAGGCCTTGAAGGGCCTTGGCTCATTAATCTTCTGAGAACATCAAAGTCCAATGGACAGGAGGCTTCAACAAGGCCGCCATTAGAGAATCTGTCACCATTAGAAATTGAATTACCGAACGTAGAAAATGATAAACATAATCCTGAAACAAGGAGAAAGGTTAGAAACAGTGACATTTTAGTGGGAAGATTTGACAGGATTTGAGAACCATAATAATAACTTCCTGAAAGTACTGAAGAAAAACTCAGCTCAACTGATTCCCAACATAATTGAGGTTCATATAAAACAAAGGAGACAGAGAGATTAGAGAACAGTTATCATGGTATTGTAAAACCATTAGCTAGCTCTTATTACTCACTCAAAGTCTTAGCATTGCCGCCGGTATTGGCAGTTAGTGAATCAACAGCAACCGAATCTTTGAACTGGTCTTCTTCAACAGAATTTATTAAAGGAAAGACAGAATATTCCTTATGACTAATATCATGTAGATTAATACATAATAATTATGTCAGAAAATTTTGAAGAGGGTCCCATGTTCTATTTGGTGTTATATGATTGGACATTTGCCACATGTCAAGATCACAGAGATTCAAACTCTACTAGTGGAAAGATGTTGCATAATTTGTCAAATGTGAGACTATTTCTTTCCACTACAAAAAAAAACTTTTTCAGAATGTGTCTTCTTGTGGGCTGTGGCAGGGGCATTCTCTGGAGGGATTGAACATAGAACGACTTGTCACTGACTTTCAGAACAAGTGAGGAACATGTCGTTCAATCATAAATTACATGCAATCTGCAATCATCAAAAATAACAAATGTTACCTACTTGTCGTTTAACTTCAAAACCATTACACGCCATGTCACTCTTGAAGGGCAAAATACTGCAGTCTAAGGTGGTCAAGTACTAAATTGTCAAGATAAATTCTTTTCCTCTTACATTTGAAATAAATAGGTTTGGATTTAATAACCTAAGCATTCATTTTCAACCTTAACGTTCTTAATTGCCACTAAATTGTTATTTCGACCTCTCCCCTTGTGGCTGATTAGCAAACCTTTTAGCCACTAGGGTTAGTTATACTCAAAGAATCTTATGTTTGAGTCGCAGAGTAGGTATCTACCATATTTGTGTAATTACCTTTGTCTATTGGGCTTACAGGGTGTCCCATGACTCTGAGGATTAGGTAGACTCTAATGTGAGTCATTGGGCTTATAGGGTGTTCCGTGACCCTAAGAATTAGGCTCCAATATAGACCATTAAGCTTATAGGGTATTCCGTGGCCTTAAGGATTAGACAGGCTCTAACGCGAGCCTGGATACCTCAGTTACCTAAAAAAAAATTGTTTTTCATTTTTCCATTAGCAGATGACATGTCGCTAAATAGTAAAATACATGTACGACGTGTCATTCAAGAACTCAAATCTGATTTGTCGCTTACAGTTATGTCCGACTTCGGCCCAACTCCCCTATGCTCTAAGAGAGTTACTTATCAGCCCAAGGCCCAAAGGCTTTCATTTTGTGCATGGAGTTTTAAAATATATGATAAAATAATAAAAATTATATATAATTGTTATATATATCTTAATTTTTTTTAAAAAAATTAAATAAATAATATTAATTTTTATAAAATTTTAGAGTAAATTCTATTTATAAAATAAATAAAGTATATTCATTTTTCGCTAAATAATTGTCAGTAATAAAAATATTTATTTCTTCTACCATTCCATGCCCTCCACGTGTCTTTAACCCTCACCAATCAAACATGGGGGAACAAATCTGACTTTGATTTAACAATATCAACATACCTAACAGCAAAAATTATGCTGCATTTTCAATTTTTCATGTTACCCCCATTTATTATATGTCCAAATTTCAACTTCAATTTATACCAGCCAATCTGAAACACAATCAATTCTATAATAAGTAACCAACATCCATATACATTTAGTGAAGGATGCCTCCACAAATTGATGTATTATCACCCTTTCTTCCATCACAATTTACTTAACGAATCAGATACTGATACGATAATATTATCAAACTAATAATACGAGATTTTAGGTTACGCACGAGGTTTAATTCATACTTATATGTCAACCACTTGGCAAGAAGACGTGGGTAATCGTGATGACACGTTAATCTATAGTCTCATTATTGTAATATGATTTATTTATGAGTAAACGGCTTTTTCTCACCCAAGGTTTGTCTTAATGACACTTTTCCGTCCAAAAAAATTCAAAATACCACTTTTCCACCCAAAGTTAATATTTCGTTACTACCTAAAGTTAATTTCTACAACGAAAATTCTCTCTGTCGCCATCATTTGAATCTTCATTCTCCTTTCTACAAAACTCTTCTTACTTTGACACCTGATTTCTCGTTGATTGCCAGTCATTGCAAAGCTAGGGTTTCCTGTTCTTATCTAATTATGGTTGATTCCGGCGGCAAATATTTAATTGGTCACCACCATTCGATCAACTGACCTCTACTCTACAAAACTCCTCTTACCTTGACTCTTGATGACTCGTCAAACGTCTGCTGAGAAAGTAAAGTATATTTTGGATATTAATGGAATATAAACTTTGGGTAGGAAAGTGGTAATTGAAACTTTTTGGGTGGGAATGTGTCATTAAGGAAAACCTTGGGTGGGAAAAGGTCGTTTACTCTTTATTTATTTACCTTGAGATAATAAAAGAAATCAACAGTAATATAAGTTCAAGACCCTATAAGCATGTTACAATCGATGTAATATAGTTTATTTTTGTTGTAAAATGTAATATAATTCCTTGATACTACCGCTAATGTATAGTTTATTCATCAAAACATTATTTTAATTTCTATCTAAGGGAGATAGATTATGTGAATTAAAGTTTTTCATAGGATGTATTAATTTTTATTAAAAACCTTTTCGTATATGAGAATCTAAAATTGTAAAAAGGTTTACGATGTTTTTTAAGAAGTTTTGTGTTACCCGTTGAGTATTTTACGACTTAATTATAGTAGGTTAAATTTAACCCTATTGTTAGATTTGCGTTATCTATATTTTATTACGTCTATCGGTTGTCTTTTATTTGCTTTTAGTTTGTCACAAATAATCTTTACGATGATAATTAAAATTTGGAATACATAATATTATTAAATTGTAAATTCAAAATTTTGTCGTTCATTCGACACAAAAAGGCAAAAATTAAAGACAAAAAAAGGGTCATATAAAATACTTGTTATATTTAAGATGTACTTAGATGCAATGCAACGATGTGTTATTAATTTTCTTAATAGATAATTTTTAATATATTTGATTGAAAATGACTAAGATGGCTAGACCTAGAATGCTACTTAAGTGGTTTCAAATGTAAGAAATATTTAGGCTCCGTTTGGTTCACTTTTTTGTAGTTTTTAGAAAAGTTTTTTTTTAAAAGTTAAAAAAAGTTGAATTGGGCGGGTATTATGATGTAGGATTTAAAAATTAATAAAAATACCCCATCTGTTTGTTTATTTACTAAACACCCCTATAATAAAACTTTGAAAGTTAACAAAAACACCCCCAACCCACCCATTGAATAATCACAACCGGCCACTACCGCCGGAGGGTGGTCGGAGTCGCCGTATCGACGCATGACCGATTGGATCTTACCGGTCGTGCTTCAATATGGCCTTTGCCGGCCAAATCCACCAGATCTACGGCTAGATCTGGCCATTGACGGCCAGATCTGGCCTCATTTGCTTGTCAACGATGGCCAAAGATACGGTCGTCGTTGATGGTCAACGACGACCATATGTTGGCCGTCGTTGACGTCTGGTTACAACCAAAGATCAGGCCGTCAACGACCAGACTTTGGCCTTAGATCTGGCCTTTTTCGGCCAGATCCACCATAGATTTGGACGGAAAAGACTAGATCGACGCACTACCGGCCAGATTCAGCCGGTAATGTGCCATTATATCAGATTCCGGCCAACTTCCGGCGATGGTGGCCGGAATCTAGTATAATGTGGGTTTAGGGGTGGTTTTGCAATTTTTTTTAAAAAATATTTAGGAGTATTTAATTAAATTAACAAATTTAGAGGGTTTAAAAAAAGTTGAATAATATTATATAATATTGTAAGTTTTTGGGCATTTTACTGTTTAACTTTTTTGGGAATACTAATAATAGTATTCCCAAAAACCAACCAAACAGAGCCTTAACTCTTTAGATGTAAAAGCAAAAACTAAATTTTCAGGGATATCAATGCAAATATAAATATCTCAATAGACTTTGAGTTTAAGTAAATTGGAAATTAAAATAAAGAAAAAAAATTGTTAACCTAAAAAGTCTTGCTATGTTAACTAATTATGTTTTGAAACCATTATTAATAGCTAATTAGTTATATTAAAATGGATAAAATAAACTTAAATAAACCTTATTATTGATAAAAGCTCAATTCTACTAATTAATTCGCCACTTTAAATTGATCAATTAATGCTTTTAACACAAACAATAAAATAAGCAATTCTACACTTCAAAGCTTAAAAAAGAAGTCTAAAAGAATTTATGGGAAAAAAAGTTCAAATTTCTACTCATCTTCGTCCGCATAANGCTTGATAAACTCAAAAATTTGGTAGCCATGGAAGTGGAAGTAAAGCTCCGATTGAAGAACTCCACAGCCCACCAACAGGTCTCAAACCTTCTCTCACCTTTTCACAAGAAAACCCTTTTCCAGGAAAACATTTTCTTTGATGACAAACACTCAAAACTCTCTTCAAACTTAGCCGTTCTTCGTCTCCGTTTCTACAACTTAAATTCCCACTGTGTCCTCTCCCTCAAAGCCAAACCCAGCATTTCAAATGGCATCAGCCGCATCCAGGAGCTTGAAGAGCCCCTGCCTGTGGCCACAGCCACTGAATGTGTATCAAAACCAAGTCTTTTATCCAAAATTGATTCAAAGATCATGGCTTTGGTTAAAAATGAATATGGGGTTGGTGAAAATAGTGAGTTTGTTTGTTTAGGTAGGTTTAAAAATGTGAGGGGTGTGTATGAATGGAAAGGGTTGAAGTTGGAACTGGATGAAACTATTTATGGGTTTGGAACATGTTATGAGATCGAGTGTGAGAGTTTGGATCCTGAGAGAGATAAGAAATTGATTGAGGGGTTTTTGGAGGAGAATGGGATTGAGTATGAGTACTCTCAGGTGTCAAAGTTCGCGGTTTTCCGATCTGGGAAGTTGCCTGATTGAGTTGAGAATTGTAAGTTGTTTATGTTTTTATTGTTGAATTCTTGTATTGACTGTAATGTTAATTACTTTAAGTTATGACATATAATGAGAACCTTGGTTGTTTGTGTTAATGTTAGTGAATTTTGATTGCAAATTATGTGCACTTTGGTCACCTCTTAACGATTGTGTGTCAGAATAATTGTTAGGAGTTGTTTCAAAATTGAGAAGTGAAATTTTCAAAGAAAATTAAGGCTTTTTGTTAAAGTGTGCATTGTTATCTAGTTGTGGAGAAATTATTCATAATCTGGAGTTTGAAGGCTCATAATCTCTGGCCAAAAGGTGCCCAAGCGAGTGAATAACAGTAGTAACTCTGTGGTTTTGTTTAAAGGGGTGGAATAATGTTTTATTGTTTTGTTAAAGTGAGCACTGTTATCTAGAATTATGTTTTGAGCACTGGTAGTGAATGTTGAATAACTGCGTGGTGACTCTACAGCTGATAATTATGGTAATAGCACTGCATAATATGCGCCTTTTGTAGACAGCTGAGCATAGTAGCCTCATTGTGATTTTTTTTCTTTAAAAGAAAATGATTGTTTCCATTAACTAGACTAGACTTTGCACCAGAAAATGTTAATTCAGTTATTTTAGAGAAAAATCCAGAATATTGAGCTGACAATTGTGATTCAATTTCTATTTTTTCATCCAGTTTTTGCAGGATCATTTTGTTACTTTTTTTACCATTGTACTGATGTCTAAGTAAGTTCAAAATGTCTAATTAAGCTGTGCTTTTGTGTGTAATATCTAAGTTGTTAAGATTTTCTGCTCCTTTTTATCTTAAATTGACATTTTGCTATTTTGTTATGTGGCTGAAGATTAGTTTCTATAACCTTGAGGACAAACTAACAACCGTTTACTGCTTTACTTATTTGACCAAAAGACAGAAGGACCTGAGCCATCTAGATCCTGGTTAGGCCCTACAAAAACATCTTAGTTAGGTTGAAAGCACGGCCTTAGGAAGTGATGCATAAAATACTGTAAACTCAGAAACTTCCTCTGTTTGTGGTATAAGAATTTCTCATATGCTAGCATGATATAAGATGCAATTATGAAGAAGCTTAGTTTTTTCTTTCTTCTTCTGCAGTTGCCGGAAACGAATTCTAATCTTGAGTGGTTAAGAACACTAGCACTACTCAAAGATATTGTATGCTCTTGTTTGTTAAATATACATACATTGGAATTCTCATTGTAAATGCTTGTTTTTCTCAATACTGTTGCAGATTATTTAGGGGTCCTAATCTTTTTGGTACATTGTGTTGTATTTTCTAATGCAGAGGCTTTTATTAGAGTAAAATCGGCGGTCAAGAATATTTGCATTTTAAAATTGGAATCAATGACGTGTTGACCTGTGGAAACTTCGTATCATTGTGCTCGCAAAATTGTCAGGGGAAGATTTTTCTAGGTGAGATGCTGACAGTGGTTTAAGTTTGAGCCAGATTTTCGAGATGAACTTCATTCTTTCTTTGACTTGGGCATTAACAATGTTCGACCATGTTGTCTAGGATTGTAGACAAAGTATACGGATATATTTACGACCCTGGTCAAAATTTATGGAAGATGTTTGAAACCTTTGTTTGTAGCGAGAAAACATTGAAGATCAAAACATGCTATTGCATTGTCAACTGTTATTATTGTGGATTTACTCAGTTTGATCGAAATTGCGATGCGTAGAGGTATCAAAGGATAAGTTTCTCCATCAGAAGTATACAGAAGAAAGTACGTTTTAGAGACTGAAAAAAAGAAGTGAGAAAGTGTTTATGGATGTTTTCTGAACATTCATAGATTTCCATATATAAGAAAAATCATAAATCATTGCATCAATAAATGAATAAAATAAAAAAAAATTGAGCTTTCTCCGAAAAACACCAGTCAAGATGAAGCTCCAGTATTCCAAATGGAAGAATAGGCCAGCCATTCATTAAATCATCTATATTAAGATATCTCTGAGGAGGTCCAAAGCTCAAGAATCTCTTAAGTTTTATTAAATACTTATGAAAATACAAATTTAAAAGTCTAATTTACGATACATACAATTATAGATACTAGAAATAACAACAGTTTTAAAAGTATTAGGTTCCGTTTGGTTGGTTTTTGGGAATACTATTATTAGTATTCCCAAAAAAGTTAAATAGTAAAATGCCCAAAAACTCACAATATTATCCAATATTATTCAACTTTTTTTAAACTCTCTAAATTTGTTAATTTAATTAAATACCTCTAAATATTTTTTTTTGAAATTGCAAAAACACCCATAAACCCACATTATACTAGATTTCGGCTACCACTGTCGGAAGTTGGCTGGAATCTGATATAATGGCGCACTACCGACTAAATCTGGCCGAAAAAGGTCAGATCTAAGGCCAAAGATCTGGCCATTGACGGCCAGATCTTTGGTCGTAACCAGTCGTCAATGACGGCTAACATATGGTCGTCGTTGACCATCAACGACGGCCATAATTTTGGCCGTCGTTGACGAGCAAATGCGGCTAGATTTGGCTGTCAATGGCCAGATCTAGCCGTAGATCTGGCCTTTGTCGGCTAGATCGGCGCACGACCGGCAAGATCCAGCCCGTCATGCGCCGATATGGTGACTTCGGCCACCCTCCGGTGATGGTGGCCGGCTGTGATTATTCAATGGGTGGGTTGGGGGTGTTTTTATTAACTTTCAAAGTTTTATTATAGAGGCGTTTAGTAAATAAACAAACATAGGGGATATTTTTATTAATTTTCAAATCCTACATGGTAATACCCGTCCAATTCAACTTTTTTTAACTTTTTTAAAAAAACTTTTCTAAAAAATACAAAAAAGTGAACTAAACGGAGCCTTAGTTATCAAACACACTCTAACTGAAGTTCAAAGCTATAGTCTACAAAAATTCCAAAGTAGCCTTGAGGATGTGGGATTCTAATTAAGGCCACTAACAGTGTTTTAAAACTCAGCTTGACCCGGCCAGTTGAATCAGGACCTGGAGCCTTCACTGGGTCGGGTTACAATTTTTTCTATTCATTGAAAACCCTCAAAATTAGGATATCAATCTGTGAACAATTGAAGGCTTAAATGTTAAGGCTTTTGAAGAGGAATGACCAATGAGTACAATGGTGGCAACTGTGTCGATTTCTGTGAGTGAATCGACCGAAAATTGCAAAATAATATCGCTAGAAAAGCCCATTGTCGCTGGCGATTAGGGAGGCGAACGGGAGAGGGGTGAGATGGGTTTTGGTTAGGAGGCTGAGGGAGTGTTTTTGTGGTGATGGTGAATGTTGTCGTTACCAGAAACAAGTCCTATTTGTCGACGCTGACGATGGTGTTTGGGGTGTTTTTGCAAGATTTCAAACCTATAAGGACTTATAGTAATTTTCAAAGGTATTTTTGTTAGATTTCAAACCCTTGGACACCAGTTTGACCCGCCGGTCAAACCGATTAAACCGGTCAACCCGGGACCCGGCCACTTTGCCAGGATTCACCCCAAGTTGGGTTTTAAAACATTGGTCACTAATGCAACTTGTGATTTGCTTATCATTAGTACTGTAATTCACTCTATTCAAGCACACATTCCAAAGAATCAACATTCTACAATAACACCACGTTGAAACTCATACTGTGAGACCTGGCAAAACAAAATCCTCATTATAAATTTGTAACCAAAAGGATGGTCCATTCATATACGGACATAAGAGCCAATGTTATCAGATTTTAATCTACCTAGTTATACATGAAGATGGTTCAACACAAAATAAAAGAAATTAAACTTTTCCTAGCTCTATAGAATAAACCAGCTCAAATAATTGCACCGCATGACAATATTCAAAAATGAATAAAATGCCACCTGACTGCAGGCTTCAGAAGACTAGGCTTCAAAGAAATCAACATAAATTTTTTTTCTCATTTCTTCTTTTTAGATGGTGGCTCCTTTTGCTCTTCATCCTCCTCTTCATCGTTGTCATCCTCTTCATCGTTGTTGTCATCATCTTCTTCGTCGTCGTTGTCGTCATCATCTTCGTCTTCATCACTTTCACTATCATCATTTGCCTCAGCATCATCATCTGAATCCTCCTCCTCATCACTTTCTTCTTCTCCAGAGTCATCTTCCTCCTCCTCACCATCGTCATTGTCATCACTTTCAGTTTCATCAGCTTCACCGGCATCTTCGGCTTCTGACTCAGGCTTTTGCACTTTAGTCAGTTTGGCAAATGGAAATCTGCAATGCAATCACACACCCGTTAGACAATTACTTTATCACCTCAGATTATCATTACAAAAGGAAGATTTCAAGTAAAAGAAATAAAAAATATTCTTTTGTACCTATGATCAATTCCTGGGAAGCTTGAAAACTCATTTGTACCATCACACTGAGATCCAATCTGTTAATTGCACAACATGTTAAAATAAGCATATTATCAGGCGACAAATAACAATTCCTAAATTTTCCGAAGACAAATTTTGCCAATTTATAGCAGTCGAAAAACAAAGAAGCTTCTAGGATATTGCAATATAACAAAACTATCATAACAAGTAGATGATCTGAAAATGAGATATACAAAATTTGGGTCAGGAATCTGGATTAAGAATACAGGGGGAACCTGAGGAAACAGTGGATGTGTCTCTAAAGCAGCAGATTTTATAATCATTCTGGAACTGAAATCTATAGAGTACTGTTCTTGTCGCCGCAATCTTATTATCAAAATAAAATCAAACTTTTAGCACTCAAAATCTTGAGTATAGATCGAACCCTGTGTATGTCCAAAGTAAAAATCCATGAATTGTACATGAAACTCACTAATAATTTCAATATGAGAACCCTATAAATTGTATCTCGGTTAGCAAGAAAATTAAGAAAAATTCAAACATCATAGAAATCTAAAAGTCGGGTTTTATACAGAATTGATATGAGAAAATAAAAACTTGGCCCTGCTGGTGTCACTCTCTGCTAAACTGAAAACTCTTAAAAGTAAACAGCCTAACAATCACCATAAGTATTCTGCACCGAGCAGCATTGCTAATTTTCTCTGTGCTCTGTCAAGCATACCCAGCTTGATTACAAATAACTAACCTTCAATGCAACAATCTCAACTCACAAAAGCTCGTGTCTTTTCAGAGTCCCCACTTAGAAAACCACCCCCCATAATCAAGAACCCAAGTCATTTTTTTTCGCGCGGCCAGATCACAAAAGCAATCTACTGGTATATTTGGTCAAAGAGAATCAAGCCTTCAACAAAACCATCCATAAAACACAAAACCCTTGTCTACAAGAACCTACCCGTCGACATATACATATTCAAAATCCAATCTAAGCACCAAACATAAGTCAAATTTGCAACATAGGAAATAAACAGAAAAAAAAAGAGAAAAAAAAAAATTGAATGACGCAAATTTAAGATACTACACTTATGGAAACGACAATGTACCAGCAAGAGAAGGCAAAGAAGAAACTTTTGAGCCTGCAAATTGGTCTCCACCACCAGAGAACACAAAATCTTCTCCAGATCAACACTATTACTAATACTATGCAGCAGAAAAGTCTCCATCTCCATAAGTGAGTGCAGAAGATTGAAGAAGACAAGTGAAAGAAACAAAGAGAGAAAGAGTTGTGCTGGGGTAATAACTGGAGGGTTTAGTGAGTGAGTAATAAGAGGGAGATTGAAGAGGAAGTTTACTTAGGGCTTTGACTTCTTTGTCTAGATTTGGCCTTGTACTTTACCCTGTTCATTGGCTTCAATGCTCAGTGCTAAACCACTGTTGGAAAAGGAAGATTTAACAAGTCTTCTTAATCATAAAAAAATAAGATATAATATAACCTCTTAATACAAGAATTTCAAGTTTGAGTCTATTTAAGGATAAAATAATAAGAGAATAATTTAATATCATCTTTTAAATTCAAGTCGATACGGTTATTAATAGAGATGACTATTGATATTGGAGTTTGTATCTGATCGGTAATTCCAAGATTCCGAGAGATTAGTTAAGATACGTGTAAACTGATCCAGATACTCCTGATCATATTAAAAAAAAAAAAAAAAAAGGTGAATGCTCACTTGAAAATAATTAATTAATTAAAATTTTTAAATAATAATTATTATTTTTCATTTAAATGGTATATGGAATTTATGAGATGAATATGTGTTTAGTAAGTAATAATATAATTGTGAAAAACGGAAATACTAAAATAAGTGCAATATTTAGATACTGAGATTACAGTTCAATTATCTTCAGCCTATACACATGTTAAACGTAACTGAAAACAGTTTATAATGTTGAAAAAGAAATTGTAATAAGATTGAGAAAGTAACAGACTTTAACTACCAGGTGAGGTGTCATCCGAGTCAGCTTCACTCAACTCACACGTGGCATCCAGCTCAAGAGTACAGTTGATGGACATGAACAGAGTTACGCAAACCCTGATGAAATACACAAACACAATTACTAGCTTTCTGACTTGTCTATATTTTAATGATTTGATCCAAACCTTAGAAGTAAAATTAAACAAAATAATAAAAAAAAAATATATATTAGAGCACGCTGTAGCACTATAAATCTAAAATAATAATAATAACTATTGCAAGAGGTTGCTTGAAAGAGACATCAATAATAATAATAAAATCGTTATTAATTTTTAGGTTTATATAGTACTTTTTTTTTTTTTAATGATTGGAGATGTCCGAACTAGTCTAAGACCCTGAAATTACCAGTTGAGTAAGAGTTCCAATAGCGTTACTATTTTTTAGGTTTATATAGTACTTTTTTTTTAATGATTGGAGGTGTCCAAGCCAGCCTAGGACCTTGAAATTACTCGTTGAATAAGAGTTTCAGTAGCTACTCCTATTAGCAATCAAGAAGAGACTTGTACTCAAGATCTCTTAAGTAATATTCTCAAAAATCTTGATCAAACCACTCACCCACACAGAATTAGTTGTTTATATCAGTGTTTTAAAACCTGACCCGGTTTGACCGGTTGAACCGGTTGTTCTATTGGGACCTAGGGCTTTCACCTGGCCGAGTTACTCATTTCCCTATTCATTGAAAAACCTAGAAATTGGGATGATGATCGGCGAACAATTAAAAATCATGATGTTGGGGCTTTTGAAGAGAAAGCGTCGGAGAGTGCAATGGTGGCAACGAAGGTGATATCTGGTGAGTGAATCAACCGAAAATCGAAAAAATTTGACGGTGGCAACAGTTGGATTTTGCTAGCGATTAGCGAGGCAAACAGGCGTGGGGTGAGATGGGTTTTGGTCAGGAGGCTAAGGAGAGTATTTTTGTGGTAATGGGGAGGTTGTCAACCCTGACAATGGTGAGATCTAACCTGAAATGTTGATGTCGACGTCAGTGAGATTTGACCCAAATCTTGCGTAGATTTTATGGGGAATGGGCTCAAGAGATGATTGAGATTGCATTTGGTGTGTTGACACCGCCAACCAGTCAATCGCCGATTTGTATTTGAGATGTGTTTGCTAAATTTCAAACTTATATGGACTTAACGTTTTAAGAAAGTATTTGCTAAATTTTAAATTTGTTGACACCCAATGGTTTGACCGGCATCAAACCAGTTTTTGCTGGGTTTATCCCCGGTTGTTTATTAAAGCACTGGTTTATATAGTGCAATAACACTACGGACACCGAAAAAGTAGCACCGAATTTCTGTACAGGCCTACGTGTAATGCGCGTCTCCATTTTTTTACAATTTTTTTCTAGTGAACAGTCGTCCATCAAATTTGGACGGCCATTCACTCACATGGACACCCGTCCATATTATATGGACGGGCGTCCCCATTTAAAGGACGCCCGTCCCTGATTAAAATACAATTAAAAAATTTGTAAAACATTTGGGATGGCCATCCATCAAATTTAGACTGCCGTTCACTCACATGAACGCCCGTCCATATTATATGGACGGACGTCCATATACAAGGGATGGGCGTCCCCATTTAAAGGACGCCCGTCCCTGATTAAAATACAATAAAAAAATTTGTAAAACCTTAGGAACGACCGTCCATCCTTTATGGACAACCGTCCATTAATTTTGGATGGGCGTCCACAAATAATGGACGCTCGTCCTTCACCCAAATATGAAAAAAAAAAAAATTCTTTGGGGACGCCTGTCCACCAATTGTGGACGACTGTCCCTTACTTTTGGATAGCCGTCCATAATTTTTGGACGCCCGTCCATGCATTTGGCTTTTACAAATCTAAATAAAAACGATGACACCATCATTTTATTGTGGACGGGCATCCGTAAGTAATGGACGCCCGTCCAAGAGTAATTCATAATAAAAAAAAAAATTTAACACTGGATGGTCGTCCCTAACTTATGGATGGCCGTCCCTTCATTGTGGACGAGCGTCCATACTTAATGGACGTCCGTCCATTCATTATGGACGGCTGTCCAACCATTATGGACAGTCGTCCATACTTAATGGATGGGCATCCATTACTTATAGACGCCTGTCCATAATGTTATTAAAATTTTTTTAAAAAAATTTCGCCTTTTTTTAATAAATATTTTTTTGTTTACATTAGCTTCTCCAATACGCTTCTCCAACAACAAGCGCTAAAATTCTTCGAGTGAAAGAAAACCAGCGCCAAAATTCGTCGTCCCCTTCTGCTTCATCGTTGCTATTTGTTCTTCACCTCAGTGTTGCGTCTGCATTCCTCAGCCATTTCTTCCTGCAACAAATGTTTTTTCCTCATTTTCCAGCTACCGTGTGAAGAACGAAAGCTATCATCTTTTCATCAAACCATAGCCATTTTTTACAGTGGAAAGAGAGATCCATTTTTTACAGGGAAAGGGAGATTAGAAAGATTTGTGTTGGTTAATAAACGATTTTTATATAATTTATGCATTTATTTAGTTTTTTACAGTGGAAATTTTTATATAACTTATCCATTTATTTAGTTTTGTATTATATTTTGGATTGAATATATGTTACAATAGAAAAAAACTGATAGAGAAAATTTGTTGGTGATTGTTATGAATCAGATTTCATGAACGTGAACACTAGTACTGGATTTGCATTAAATTACAGAATATAGAAGAGTCCAGTTTGGCTCAGAATATGGAAGAGTCTAGTTTGCCTCAGAATATGGAATAGTCTAGTTTGCCTCATTTCAATGATGTTGAGGTAAATTGTGCTCGAAATATACTTTTTCGTTAAAATGATTTTAAATTTATTGTATCGTATTGTTTATTTTGATGTGTTGTATTAATACATTCTAAGTTTATGTATTATAAAACAATTAAATCAGGAAAATGAACGTGATGAATTAGAAGATTGGGATGTGCAGAGGAAGAAGTAGAGCCTCATATTGGAATGGTGTTTGATTTAGTTGATAGTCTGGTGAAGTATTACAAACGGTATGGTAACAAAATAGGATTTGAAGCAATGATACTATGTCAAAGAAAGGCGAAGATGGAGAGATGAGATATGTGACAGTGGCATGTTCTTGTTCTGGAAAGGAGAGATGTAAGTCCAGAAATACCTTGAAAAAACAACTTATTGTTAAAACAGATTGTAAGAGTCGAATTAGTGCAGCTTTGAATGGTGAATGCAAATGGGAAATTAAATCAATTGTACTTGAACATAACCATGATCTTATAAGTCCGACAAAAAGAAGATATTTCAAGGTTAACTGAACGATACAACCTTATGTGAAAAGGCGACTTGAAGTTAATGATGTGGCTGGGATTAGACCGTGTAAAAATTTTCAGTCATGTTCAGTTGAGGCAGGAGGTGTAGAGAATTTGACGTTTCTAGAAAAAGATTGTAGGAACTACATTGAAAAAGTGAGAAAGTTACGACTTGGAGTTGGAGATGCTTCTGCAGTACTTGAGTATTTTAGGAAAATGCAAAAGGAGAATTCAAATTTCTGGTACATGATTGATGTAGATGAAGATAGTCGATTACAGAATGTGTTATAGGTTGATGCTAGATGTAGGGCTGCATATAAAGAATTCGGTGATAACATCACCTTTGACACAACGTATCTGACAAAAAAGTATGACATGCCATTTGCTGCTTTTGTGGGGGTTGATCATCATGGACATTCGATATTGTTAGGTTGTGGGTTAATTTCTCATGAGGACACTGAGACATTTGTATGTATTTCGTTCTTGGCTTGAATGCATAGATATCGCTCCTAATGGAATAATCACTGATCAAGATAAGGCCATGCAAAATGCGATTGAGATTGTTTTCCCTGGTACAAGACATAGGTGGTGTTTGTGGCATATAATGAAAAAACTGCCTGAAAAGTTAAAGGGGTATAAGGAATATGAAACTATCAAGTTTAAGTTGCAAAATATTGTGTATGATTCCTTTATGTGTGAAGAGTTCGAAGAGCGGTGGAACCAATTTGTTGATGTGCACAACCTTCACGAGAATGCATGGTTATGTGGATTGTACAAAGAAAGAGTACGATGGGTGCCTGCATTTCTTAAAGATACTTTCTGGGCAGGTATGTCTACTACCCAACGTAGTGAAAGTATGCATGCA